GGATTTGAACAGAAACAGGATTTGTCTCAAGTCACCTCTCTGCAGTATGTCAGTAACGCCGATTCCCCTGCGTGCTGGAAGAGATGCTGATGGCTCACCTGAGTACCTGCACAGTACTTCTGAGCAAAAACCAGAGCTTTAGTTGCGCAGCCAATGCCAGGAGCTGGAATACAGACCTCAAAACAAAACTCTGGACCTGGGCTGCTGCCAGCTGGACTATTTGCCCACACAGAGCAGGATTTCAGACGCCAAGTCAAACCAGTCCTGAGCTGGAGCCTGGCCAGCAGCAGGGGCTGCGGCAGCTTCTCCTCCCAAGGCACAGAGCATGGGCCAGCCCAGTCCCACCAGCGCTGGAGAAACACATTGAACCAGGTCTGGCAAAACCAGTTATCCTCACTGACAGAGCAAAGACCCTTGCTCCCATGTGAAGCCACCCTGGGGAAAGATCAGCACCCTTGGGTGAAGGCCTTCAGGCCCACTGGTCCCATCAGAGGTTGCAAGCGAACACCACAAGCCTTGCACAGTCCTGCAATGTCTGTGCTCCCCATCTCCCCCATCCTGCCACTGCTGCAGGGGTAAGGTGGGCCTGGAGCTGGGCTGAAAACCCAACCCATCACCAATGCCGAGAGCAGCAGGCAGGGGAAGAGCCCGGGGCACGCTGGGGTCTGGCAGGGGCGAGGGTGGGGGACACTCCAGCCTTCCAGGATGCAGGGAGATAAACGGCCAACATCATCATCATTATCAGTGGCGCCCAACCTTCGTGTTGAATGGCGAGGAGGAAGAGCTTTGCCTGGCCCTGGAAGGAAGAGGAGAGATAGGGAGGGCGGCACCGCTGTGATGGGAAGAGGTGGGAGGATGAGACCTGCTGACCTCTGCCGGGGCAGAGAAGCAATGCCGGGGGGCTGTCAGCCCCCTCCTTGAAGACCGCTTGCCCTGGGAGCTTTATCTCCAACATCTGCATCTCTGCTGCGGTCCCCAGCGCGGTGCCAAGCAGGGGGCTTGTACCCGAGTTAATGAGTGGAAAGGGGAAACTGAGGACATGTCCAGGGCCTCCTGGAGTGACTCTGGGATCTGTCAGAAGCGGCATGTTTTTGAAGTGATTTATTTCTCACCAGGGTTAAGGGGGATGCGGCCCATTAGTCAGGAGGGACAGAAGCATGCTTCCTGTCACCTCGGCCTCTCCCACTGGCAAACCCAGGAGCTTTAGGTCCAATTAGCCCCTGGCAAACACCCCAGGGGTGGGTCCCTCAGCAGCATCCCCAGACAGGCCCAGGAGAGCAGCACTTCCTAAGAAATCAGTGCTAATGAGTCACTGTGGCTAAATGACATTATTTAAAGCAGCAGTGAAGCTTTCCAGGCTCCCACCGTGCCTTCTCCAAACTGGAGATCAGAAAGCCAGCAGTGGCCTCCGTCCCCCAAGCACAGCACTGAGCCGGTCCTGCAGTTACCAACCCCATCTGTCCCCAGGGAAACTGGTCAGATGCCTTAGCTTGGGGGCAGGATCCAGCCCAGAAGGCTTTCTAGAGCCTTCTTGGAGGTTTTCTACCACCTTTCAAGATTATTTCTGGAGGTTTCCTGGCCATTCCCTGGTATTTTTTTCTAGAGGTATCTCCAGAACATTTCTAGACTCTTCCTAGAGGTTTACTTGAACTCTCCTGGTGCTGCTACTGCCTCTTTGCATGTTTTTTTCACAAAGTCACAGGTTGGCCATTTCCAAATTTCCCAAGTGGCACCTTGGCAATTGAGCAAAGCTCAGCACCTCAGCCAAGCGCCGTGTGACATCTCAGGTGGTCACAGAGCAGCATCCGCAGCAGCCTGATTAGTAAACTGAAGAAATATGTAGTGATTAGGAAAAAAAAAATTCGCATGGGATCATTCTATAGTCAGATAGACTATATACACACAAACTCTAAAAAACGCCCCGTAGGAGGACATGTTGTCCTTGTGCTGTCTGGAGTCTTTTAAGTATCATCCCCTGAGCAAAACCAGCCTGAGCTATACACGTCTCACCAAGGCACAGGACCAGCATCCTCCCAAGCTGTGGTGTGGGTGGAAGAGGTTTGTCCTTTATGAACTTATGGGGACCAAGCACGTGTACCGGAGGGGCTGTCCACTGCACGGGAAGCTGGGAAGGACCTGGGTGCTCTGCAGCGGAGCAGGCTCCAATTGAAGAGCTCAGCTGGGGAAGTCCCCAGAGGGAAACCCCATCTACTGATACCAAATGCACAAGGAACCAATGAGCTGCTCATTGCATGCACAGCCTTCTCTCCAGAGAGAGGTGCAAACAGGCTGAAACCCCTGGAAGCCACTTACCGTGCGCACTCCTGCCAAGAGAGGAACCACTTCTCAGTCATCAGCCCTCCAGTGAAAAGTTGATTTGCACTTGCTAGAAAACACTTCTCATGGTCATTCCTTCCCCCGAGCACCATCCCACCCAGCTGCCCCTTCCCACTCCCCCCTCAGCTCACAGCAACTCAGATTTGCGGTGTGGCCAGCACCTCTCCTCCTTCACACTGCTAATCCATTTGCTTTGCCCTTTAACCAGCAGCCACCTCTGTCAATGCTCCTCCAGCTCCTCTCCTCCCTCCCCTAGACTCCTGTCTAGGACATTTTCTCAAGCAGGAAAACGCAGAGCAGCTGAGGGAAAAAGGCAAGACAGCAGATGCTTTTCTGCCTGCGCTCTCTCTGTGGTGTCAATCCTAAACCACACAGTTCCCATGTACATTTACACTGTGAAGACCACAGTGAGTCACAGAGCCGGGGAAGTGAGGACAGGCCAATTCCCAGATGTCCCTCCTGGTGTCCCCAGCCTGGCACACATGGCCTTTTTCTTCCATAGCCACTAAAAGCTCCTCTAAAGATCTGACTGCCCAAGTGTAACCTTACCACATGGCCCCAGGGTAGCAGCTCAGAAATCAGTTCGGGGCTATCTGAGGTTTTCACATTTGCTTGTGCCAAGGGAGCTCTGGGAAACATCACTGCCGGAGGCAGGAGTGGTCTTACAGGCACAAGAAAAACATCTAGCACAAGAATCAAGTCTCCTGGATGGTGCCCCAGGCAGTACATGGCTCAGTGGGAACTGCTCTGTGCATACAGATTTACACAGCCACGCTGAGAACCAAACCTTTAGCAAGAGCCAGGAATATACTGGCTACCCTGAAACGCCTGTTATAGCATGAAAGGCTTGACAAAAAGTCCTGTGAATAGAAGCAGAGTGTTCACAGCTCAGCCAAGGTATCAATATAGGACTTCAGGTCCTTCTGAGCCAGCTATTCCCAGCATTCCTACTCAAGAGTCTAGAAATCTCCCAGCAATTTCTGGCTGTCCAGCAGGCTGCCGAATGACCTGAATTTTTTTTTTTTTTTTTTACGTCTCCTCCCAATGTTCTCCCCTCCGCACGGTATTTTTGTAGAACTGGAGAATCATTTAGGTTGGAAAAAACCTTTAAGATCACCGAGTCCAACCATTAACCTAGCACTGCCAAGTCCACCATTAAACCATGTCCCTAAGCGCCACATCTACACGTCTCTTAAATACCTCCAGGGATGGGGACTCAAACTTTACTTCCCTGGGCAGCCTGTTCCGATGCTTGACAACCCTTTTGTAAGATGACACAAGCCATCACTAACAAATTACCTGAAAAACACCACATACCACACTGGTTGGCATCAGTAAAACATGCAGGAGTAAGGGATACAGGTACCCGTTCCAAGGGAAGGGATTCCGGCACCAGAAAGACTCACATAATGTACATGTATCCAGCTTCTGTTTCTTGCACCACGATACCAGGTCTCACTTTGAATGACCATGGGATTGGAGCAGTGTTTCCAGCTTTACTGCCAGTAATGTTGTCTGTAGCCATTTCAGGTTCATTCTTGGCTCTGCTCCATGGGAGAACAGATCTGGATCACACTGAGAACTGCGAGCTCTGACCAGCACCCTTACTGAGACAGCATTTCAACTTCAGGGACTTCTGACTGAAGCCCAGGACTCAAAACTGGCTTTCAGTCCCATACCTCTGCTCTGTACTGCTTAAGCTCTGCAGAGAACAAAGGCAGACTATTCTATTGCTATAGTAACATTCACCAAAATAAACTATCTGCTGGAAAAGCTCCCAGGCACTACATGCAAGATTTGTCTTCCATTATTACCGATGCACATGAGCTTGTGGTATGTTCACATGGAGCAAAACATTCCCAACGTACATACAATAAAAACCTCATTCCGTTTAAGTGCTGTTTCAAACGATGGAACTTCCCTCAGCATTTGCCATACAGCTGACCAGGGCTGCAGTCTCTGGCTCGCTGGTGATGCACCCTTTGAAGCGTTACAGCCCAACAGGTGAAGGAGTGGCTGGGCCGACAGCGAACGGTCGAGCTGCATTCTTTCCTTCTGACTGCTGCTCATTCCATACCCCTGACTGTAAATCCCGCCTTGGCTAATGATGCACATCAGTGTAACAACTTGCATGTCTGGATTCGCCCCATCGAGGCCTGTAATGTATTTCTAGCTGCCTGCTCACATCAGCTATTATGCTCATATTTGGTGAATGCAGTGAAAGCACACAGGGAGGGGGGAAAAAAAAAAAAAAGGAATTCTGTGATTCCCCATCACTAACACCCAGAGCCCTTCTGTCAGCCCCACACTGTCACACAAATACCAAGACGAGCAAGGGGGAAGATCAGTGCAAAGTCAGTGTCACAGAGGTAATTTGGAAGCAGACCTCATCTGGACAGCTGCCGGCAAGCAGAGACCAACCCTCTCTGTAGCATCAGAGCTACAGCTGGGCCAGATGGGAGCTGGTGACCTTCTTCAGCCCAAACGAGTGCTAGAGAAGGCGGAGATGTGCACAGATCCCAACAACTCTACAGAGGAGCAGAGTCAGTCAAGCTTTGCTGGAGGAAGATGCACGACTTGGGTCTAGTTTTTAACGTTTGGGGTGAGTGGAAAAGAAGGTTGTTAGGCTTCCTTTTTTCTTTTTTTTAAAGCAGCAAGTTTTCTGTCGGGAGTTTTTAATATATTTATTTGAAAACAAGGTTTTGTGAAAGAGTACACTAAATAGCATATATCTGTTCTTCAGCCATAAAACACAGACTATCAGCTTTAGCTCAGCACAGATTAGGGCTGCATGCACTGAACAGCAGATCTCGATAGGAAGGTCTTCATGTCTGTCTTTCTGATATCAAGCATAGTGTCTTCTTTAGAGGACATGATCCTGGAGGAAGAGGAGAGAGAAACCAGAAAAGCAAACGTTTTTAACTAAGGCTTCTTGTGGTTCGCCCTACACACTCTCCCGAGCCTGTCAGTGACGAAACATTTAGAGTTTTTAGCAAGGAGTTTGTTTTCCTGCCCATCCACCAATTCAAGTGCATAATCTTTGCTCTTGGGAGCACTGGGACATGCCAGCCCATATTTGGAAATAAAGCAACTAGTTTCGGCCTCTCAGTGAGAAACTTGCACATCAGTTCAGGAGCTTTAACCAAGAAACCTGAGAACCGCACCATTCATTGCCTGGAACAGATCTGCAAGTATCATTATGTCAGGCTCAGAGAGCACCATAGAGCCCATGACTGGAGTGTCTTTAAATTCTACTAAGAACTGCTGGGAAGACCAGACAATCCCAGAAAGCAGAGTAGTAGTTCTCTTTCAGCCAATCCTGCCACACTGAGGTCAAGTAGATGACAGCTTTGTTACTTAAACCACTTGCCCCTCTGGGACCATCTTTCGTGAACTGATTGTTCCCAGCTCAGCTGTTGCCTGTGACCCCATGCACTGCTCTAACTCTGCCCAGCGAGGATCTACTCAAGAGCAGCCATGCCTGTGACATTAGAGACCAGATCCAGTATGACTGGGCCAGGCCTGGTCCGGAAGAATGGGCTTCTCTTTTATTGCTGTCAAACTCTTCAAATCAGGACAGAGCATGTTTCTGAATCTGGTGCAGAAGCCGTCAAAGAGCTAAAACAAGAGTGCTGGGTGCTGGTAACTGCTTCAGTTGATCCAAAGAGGCTTTTCCTTCACTGGGATTAATAAAGGTGACTCTGTACACTACACTGTACCTCAGGTCTTAATCATCAATGTACTCGAAGGGCTCTGGTGGTTCAGGTTCCTGCTCCTCTTCCTCGATCTTCGGACCATGAGCTGCCACAGGTTCAACCAGCTCCTCCATATCCTCACTGGTGTCCTTCAGAATGATGATGCCTCCGATAGAAAGCTGCAAGACAAGTGCAGCGACCATTAGAGCTGCTTGCCTCTGCCTCGTGGTGGAGTGTGTGTGACCACAGTGTTTATCCTAGGCCATATGAAAAAGGTGTCTGACACTCACCCAGACCCCTGCTTGATAAAGGGATGAACAGACAGAGCCTATCCAGGCTACCTTTTGTATTTCTACTGTCTAAGTCTCACTCGATAGAAAATGGCATATGGCTTCACAGCTTTATCCCAGTCACAGTCTGGGGCTTTCCACATGAAAACTAATTGAACCATAATTGCTTTATAAGGCTCATCTTTTCAGGGCAACAAAGCTTAGTGAAGCCTCTCTGTGTACCCACCTCCCAGGAGGCTATCTGAAACAGACTAATCTGATCACCAGCTTCCACTGACTGAGGAATCCTATTAGCAGAACCTCGTAAAAACAAAGGGGAATTAATTACAAAGATCACAACCAAACATCCTGGCAGGCTGAAGCAAATCTGTGCGTCTCCAGGACTGAAACACAAGGTGCGAAGAGGCAGTGCTGTGTCACGCCTGGCTGGGATCAGGGCTCTGACCACAGCAGGATTCCAGGCTATAAACAGCATTTCAAAAGAGGCCTTTCACTCTGGCATTCCCCAAAGCAGACCAAAGGTCCAGAACAGCTCTGTTTTGAGAGCCTCCCTGGTTATACACCCTAATCCCAGCAAAAAACTGCACTGTTCTATTCTCTTCAAAACCTATTTATGGGGGTTTAAGGCAGGAAACTGCACTCCCCTCACCAAGGACTCGGCTTCTTTTGAAACTGAAACAGCTACATACGTCCACATTTCAGCTGCATAAGTGGACACTTACTGGACTACACAGCAGATCTTCCCAACCCAAATACCAGTTGGGTCACCTCCTCTCTTTAAAGGGTACAAACAAAAAAATCCTTCCACTGCTATGCTAAAGGAGACGTTTCAAAAAGGGATGATGCAGAGAGAATTCCAATGTGCTGGTGGGATTCCAGGAAATCCATTTATTAAAAACATGACTATTTTCCTGGAAAAACTATTACTACCTCTGTACGCCATTTTCCCATGCATAATCCTGCAAAAGGGGGAAGTCAAGGGTGTTGTTCTTGAACAAAAATAAAGGCCAGAAGAGTTTGACTCAGGCGATTTAGAGGTCAGGAGCGAGCTTATTAGCTTTGCAATATATTTGAGCATCTCACAGAAAAGTTAGTTACCCCTTGGGCTTAACGCTGAAAGATCTTTTTCATTCTCCACCTGACAATCACGTGCTACCTCTGTTAACAGGAGATGAAGGCACTTTGCTAAGATCAGATGTAACTGAATAGGAAACCTGTTTAATGAAAAAAAACCCCTCCATTTAGGTATAAATCCCGCTGCAGGATAATAAAGCTCCAGCACATGTCCTAATGTATTTCACTGCTTTGATAACGAGCCTGTACAACTTCTCAGCTCATTGTAAAGATCATGGCTCAGTCTTTATGACCCCAGCAATGTCATTAATACAGAGTATGTCCGATTGGTTTCTATGTCACAGCATTTGACGTATGTAGAAGAAAGAAAAATAAAGCAGCATTAGCATGGTGAAAAGGTTTGCAGCTGCTCTGGCTTTCCCCCAACTAGAACTGCATGTGATCATTTGGAGAGAAGGACATTAAAAAGCAAATATGGCAACAGTGAAGTTGCAAATCCCTATAGCACATTACAGTGATGCACCAGCTCTGAGTGGTATTCTCTTGTGCACACAGAACTTCTGGGTCCTTAGGCACAAGCCCAGCACTGGGAACGCTCTGTCAAGCACATGGACTAGGAAGGTGATACTTACTGGTTTGAAAGGCTGATATCGGCAGCTCTCTGTCATAGTGAGAACTTTGAGCTGAGCAGGCATGACTCTGGCTGGGTTGTCCAGAAGCTGGAAGTTGGGTTCAGGCTCTTTTTTCTTTTCTTTTTCATCCTTCTTTTCAGTCTCATCCTGCGGAAGGGGAGGAGAACATCAACATGATTTTAATAGTCATCTCTAGCCCTTTCACAATTCAGGAGAATAAGGCAAAACCTGCTACCCTTAACACCAGCAGCAATTCCAGAGCATGGTGAGAAGCCATCCTCCTACTGAGGAACAAGCTAACACGTATCTATCAGCTGGCACAGGCAATGCCAGCGTGGATGAAAGTACTCTCACCATGGCAATGCCTCGCTCTCAACTGCAGGTGACAGTAAGTTCAACAACAGGTGGCAGTGGAACAGTTTACCTCTGGCTTCCCTTTCTAACACTTCCTCTGTAAATTCACCACTTTTTGTTCACAGCTGAAGATTCTTTAATATCATTACTAAGCACATGAAAATTGCCAAAAGCTGCCCTTGTATTTTCACAGCTATACAGCTATCACTGACAGCAGCTCAACCAAAATGACTTGGCCTCAGTGACTCCTTAGGGAATTGCAGTTAAACCCTCCTTTACCAGCAGCAGTGACTCAGCAGCTGGAGGCAAATACTCAGAAGGAAAAAAACCACAGCATCCTTTACATACTTAAGAACATCCATCATGTTTTCCCTCTTGCTCGGGAACATCTGAATTGCAAAAAAAGATTGCAGAAAAGATGGAAACAACCGATAGGAAATGATCAGGAACGCCACCAAATGCATGGCGTGTCCTATAATGGCAGACAGGACTTCCTCTGGCAGAGCAATTGCTTGTCGCTGTGCAGGTCTCTTGGAAGCTATGGATTACTAGTCATATAACAGGCATAAAAGAAAACCAGGAAAGCAATTATACCTCTACAACATTAGGGCAATGGCAAAACACTTGACAAACACAGCAGGTGGCAGCAAGCTCCCTTTTTACTATCCTCATTTTTCTGCTCGATTCAGCCAAGAAAACTTCTCGGACATCTGAAGTGTACACACACACAGACACGACACGCGAATCCCTTCTAATATACTGCTTCCTCTCAACACCTGTACTTAACTGTAAGTCCTAGCAATTTTAGAAGAACCTGTATCTGTTCAGCACATTTTGCTCAGTATACAGTGCTGTAAGAATAATTCAAAGAAAAGACAATGTTTGATGACAAGGAAACATTGATAAAGAAGCAAAAAGACAAAAAACAGAGATTCTGCCTTGCACACATGAGATGATTCCTTTTCTGAGCCAACTGTATAAAGTTCAGTGCCTACAACATGGCCGCATTTAAGTGGGTCTCAGAAGGTTATTTTATACATACACCTTTGATCTTACTTACGCCACACTCCCTTCACATACCATTTGTGTGTTTCTTGTTAAAATTAGAGGCGCAAAAAATTCTGTGACCACATTGCTTTTCTCACATAAATGTTAAAGTGGAATCAGGTTTCTACTGAGCTTGTCAGTATAACCCATTTTCAGCTTAGCTGTTCTTGGCATATTTGCATCTGTTAGCAGAGCACAAAAGGAAGGGTCCTTTGTCAGGGTACAGCAAGAATTTTAGCTGCCATATGTTTTCCAAATTAGAGCAACCACCAAGAATTCATTATCCAGCCATTTCTCTGTCCCTCAGCTTGCCCCAGGATGATACATTATTCACAGATGACAATGACAACTTCTAATGTCAGGTCTATGAGCTGAAAGAAATCATAGAGGACCAAAGCAATCACCATAACTACTGAGCAGCACATAGATCCTGTGCTCAAAGCTCAGCTGGTTCTGAGCCGGGTGTGGATAAACGTGTGGTATTGATAGATGGGCAAAGCATGTAAGAGATTGCTGCCAAAAAGGTGAACATTTGAGAACGGGGGGTTAAGCACGTGCAAACCCAGAAAGTTTAAACTATTCAGTGCTCTCCACTGAATTAGACACCACCAAGCAACTGCTACAACATTGAGTCCTTTTTAAAAGGTGAGAGGTACCAAGGACATGAAATTACTAAGACTTTTTCCACATTAATAAGAAAAGTACATGGGTAAAAGATAAAATTCCCTTGGTCTAGAAACAGCAGGCAATGAAATAATGCACAGCAGGTTCACGCAGTTAAAGGCATATCAATTTGTCAAATCAAGCTTCTGCCTTTAAGGAAGTCAGTTACTTAAATCTTCCTCAATATTGTTATTTCTCAGAAATAATGGATTCATAAATAATACCACCTCTTGCTTTTAACAGCGCACACACATACACAGAGTAAAGATGCTAACCAGTGTACGCAGTAACTGAAATGTGTTAATACTTTGCTCAGAACTAACACAGGTGCCAGCTTTCATGACACACCTTCCACATTTACAAGGGGGGAAGACAACATTTAAGTTTCAATGTTTGCACCCACCACTTCCATCTTCTCCTCTTCCTTCTTCTCTTTCTCCTTCTCCTTTTCCTTCTTCTTGGCTTTTGCGGTGATGGACAGCACAGCAGTGGAAACCTGGATATGTCAACAGAGGAGGCATTCAGCGTGACTGCAACACCGTACGCTGCGCTTCAGCTCCCCAGGCAGGGCAACAAAGGGAAATCAATGTTAGGTCAGTTCTCAGTGCAGGTGTCAGTAAGATCAATTCCACTTCCTACCCACTGCTCTGTTTAAGAGACAAATACACCACCATCAAAGCAAATAAATAGCACAGATGGGACAAAAAACCACTATGAATGCAGACTAGGTCCAGCCACACATGCAGAAGGAGAGCAAACTTCCTAATTTAGAGATTAATCATTACTGTCTGTGTCTCTATATGAGATGTTTATTTATTTTTAACAGAGCAACAAATGGAACTCTTATTACAGGAAAACCCACTGCCAGAGCCTCCAAGGTAAAGAAACATGCATATAGATACTCTTTAGAATGACTTAAAGCCATTCCACTGTCCTAATCAGACAGCTGTGTTTCTCATTGGTCTAAAGAAGTGGATACACAAAATGCCCTGTGAAGGAGCCCTTAGGAGGCTTTAATACTCCTGAGCCAGAAAGTACGCAGAAACAACACTCAAATACAAGAATTCAGCACGTCTGCCTTCCAGCAAGCACATCTCTCTATCCACAGTAACTGTCTTTGTAAGGCAGTAACTTTCTGAGAGGGACAGGGAGCAAGTGCATTTGTCATGTTGCTGGTGAGGCTTTCGAGGCTAAATGTGGGCTCCTGGCACATTTTAACTTTGGCCAGCGAAGTTTAAAAGAGAAAGGATTTGTCCAGTTCCCATCCTATTCCAAAGGTGAGGAAGCAGCTATGAGCAGTGAGCTTTGCTTCTCCTCAGAGTTCATTTCTGGGTTCCTTGGTGGCTTGGAAATCTGTCCTGCCCACCATTCAGTTACAGTAAAATGTTTTACAGTTTTCACACAATGTCGTTCATCAGCATGACTTGCCTGAGGTCTCCACTGCTGCAATTGCTCCCTAAGGGCTGCTCTGCCTGCGGCTGTGGTCTGCTCAACAGCTTTTACCATCTTACGCCAGGAGACAAATTACTTCCACTATTGTCCTGCTTGTCACAGGTCTCATCTCTTCCTTTTCAATACCTAGATATTCTCAGTTCCACACTTACCTTTTGCAATCCATGGGCCTGACAGCTATTATTCTAGCACATGGGCCCACTGCCCTGAGCCCAGGTGTCCTTCCATATGGGACTATTTGAGAAGCATCCCACCTAATATTCTCAATGTTTGTACTGCAGTAGCATTTTGAAGCCCAAGTCATGAACAAGGACCCCACTGTGCTTGCTGCTGCACAAAGATGATAAACACATACAAATCAGTAGGGCATAGAAAACAGTTTTATTAATCAATGCTTCTGCTTGACCACCGGAGGCAAGGGAGGTTACAGTGACTCAGTAGCACAGCAGTTGTATGCTATGATCAGCAACAGTCCCAGGCACAGCAGGGAAAAACAGCTAGAATTCTCTTTCAGAGGCAGTAGTCTTACACAGCAAAACAGACAGGCAGCATAACAACCAAATTCTTCTTTCGCTCTTTAGATTCCCTGTTAGTGCCACCAAAGTCAATGTTTATACTAGGAGCGAAAAGGGGTTAGTCTTTACAATGCAGAAAGCTACCCAAATACCTTTTCTTTCTCCTTTTCCTTTGGTACCTCGAGAGGTGGGGGGTAGGCAAATGTGGACGGCTTACAGTTGGACTTGTACTGGACTTTTGGCATCTGAGGCAAACAGTTAAAAAAATTGTCAGAGACAAGAAAAGCAGGGGAAAAATCCACAGCAGAATAATTACTTTAGCTTCATTTTCCTTCCAGCAGAGACAAACACAGATCCTCTAAAGAATACGAGCTTCCCCTTCTCCCCTTCCGGAAGCTGAGAAACTGTTATCAGTGGCAACAGTTCAACTAGAACAATGTTATTTAATTATTCAATAATTGGACTCTGGCAAGCTCTTCTAGCCTTCTCCATATGCTCCACGCTATTCACACCATGCTTTGTTTTCATTGTTTCGAAGCTTTTGTGGTTTTGATGTTGTTGCTGTGCCTGCTCATATTAACACAAAATTGGTTTAAGATCTAAGTGAAGATCTGCTCTGTCAATGCATGCTAGGGCAAACCAAGCACTGCCTGACACTCACCTCTTGCAAAAGGACAGTACGCTTTGGGGGTGGGTTACCAATATCAATCTCTTACTCTCGGCTACTTAAGCAAGGGCAGAAAGTGTCTTTTGAGAGCCAATCCAAATTCTTAAACTGAATTCATTTCTGCAACATCTCAACTCTCTTCCTTTACAACACATCATGGAGCAACAACAGAACAGAGACTGCTCTGAGGAAGCAAGGTGGGTGTGGTGCAGCCCATAACATACATCCAGCCTGTAGCTGGCTTTAGTATGCAAACCAAGTTATACATCATAACTCACCTACAGCCGTTTGGGCTCTTTGGGAACTCTAAGGGATGGGGAGAGGGAGTCAAAATGGCAGTAGAGCCAAGCAGCCAAAAAGGTGCTGAGCCTATCGCCATCGGGGAGGTGTAGAGACAAGCAGCAATGCAACCCCTGTCAAGTATTCAGGGGGGTGGGGGAAGGTATTTTCATGCAAAACCTCTCTCCAAACAGAGCGAGAATTTTGCGCTGCGTGTAGATGGATTCGATACTCAGCCCGAAACAAGTGTGGAAGAGCAACCTGGAGCCCTAAGGTTTCGGTCCAGGGGCTGCAATCCAGCAAGGTGGCTCAGTCCCACAGAGGGACTCTGAGAGCAGCCCAGCCCTATGCATGCTCTGTGCATCGCCCAATAAGCCTGTGGCAATGACAGGAGGGGGCTGCACACCTCTGCGCTGCCACATTCAGAAGCTTTTTGGTGGAAGTTACTAGCTCCGATCTTCAGCACAGGAGACCCAGCATGGTACACAGCTTGCAGGGGCCATGCCACAGCTGATCAGCTGGAAGAACATGCATAAGAAAAGTACAGTACCCATGACTGCTTGGTTTAGTGTTTACTCCCCAGGGAATCCAAACAAATCCTGTTTTCCCAGCCCTAGCTTTCCCAGGGGAGAATATCACATAATTTATATGGGAGGGCAGGGGAGTGACACACTTTTTTTTTTTTTTTTTTTTAATAACCTTGACCTTCTGGAGTGATAATGGGGTGCTCCCTGCCCACATATACTGACTAGAGTTCCTTTCTTTTTAAGCTGCTTTGAAGTAAAGGGGCCAAAGTCTGCTCTCTACATTTTTCTTGTCCCTATTCCCACCATCAGTTCAGCAATTAAGCCTGCTTTTCAGACTTCTTCCAGTTAGCACCTTTTCTGGCGCAAACAAGCTGGAGACATGCAAAGAAAACCAACAAATCCATGCACACCCCTCCCAGATCACTTGAGTCTTCCAAGCAGCTATCAGCACCTCTTCTCTCTGCTCATTACGTACCTTAAGATCCTTGTTAAGGCCAATGACACAGGTTGGGGTGAAAGCCAGCGACAAGAAGTGTGACAGGGGGAACCAGAACCAGAACTGGGTGAAGACCAGAACCCCCACCACGGAAGGCATGTGAGTATGTCCTGTCCTCGACTGCAGTGAAATAGTTACGTTATGGCCCCCTGTAAAGAATCATAAATGAAATAAGTTACTTAATGCATTCCTGGGTACTCCACAGACACCTGAGCAGTGCATCTCTAAAACAGCTGCTGTGAAGGGAGCTACACATCGCAAGCCAGGCCACCATGCTGTCAGCTTTCTCCTCTGCAATACACCTTCCTCCCTCCCTCACTGTGATCTCAGCTTACACAGCAAAACAGACAGGCAGCATAACAACCAAACTGCTCTATCTGCTGGATATTACTCAAACACAATCAGTGAATACAGCCTTTCCACGCTCATTTTGCCAGGATGCAGGTGAAACAAAAGTACAATTCAGAAGGCAGGGAGAGGGAGAAAAAGGCAAACCTTTGCCATAAGCGGTTTTAAAACATAGCATATAGATGATCCACAAGACAAGACTCAAAAGGAAAACATATAAAGCAGTGCATACAGAAATTTTTCTTCCTGTGGCTGCCTCTCTGAACTGTCAGTTATTCAGAAGAAATATGCCTAGGTTTTTATCCTACACCATCTCAGTAGAAAAAAATGTAAACAGCAGCAACTTCAGAAGTTGCTTCTAGAGGTTATCAATCTAAGCAGTAAAGAGACAAGCTCCTGCAGCCTTTGCAGCAAAATTACATCTCTGCCAGACAACCAAGTCCTAGCTTTGTACTTGCAAAGCAGAGACCAAACCAACCCCATATATATTGATGTAGTGCAAAAACATCCAGCTAGAAACCAAACTGAAAGATTGGGCTTGCAGACAGAGTGAGAAAGTGTTCATCTGATCTTCAGTCTTCTGACGAACACAGTGAATTGAGTTGAAGAAGGCACCAGGCAAGTCCATTACTGCTGACAAGACCAGGTGCAGGGAGGTTAACTTTGTCAAAATACAAACCCCCACTCATTGCAAACTCGGGGCGCTTTATAGCTGAACATCCCAAACAGGAGTAGCATTCCTCTGCCTCGCACAAACAGCCACCTCGACAGGGCCAGGCAGCAATGGAGCTGTCTGTTTTAAAGACAAGCAAAATTCATTTTTCCTGCCAAAAACTAATGAAAGCCCTGAATGAAGCACTAATCTCACCTTAGGTATCTGTCAGTGTTAGTCCCAGGAGAAGCAGTGGAAGATGGAGGATTTTGATGCTCTCCTGTAGCATACTCTGCAAACACACTATGCCCTTGCTTTTCCTTTTGTGGTAGCAATAGATCTCCCGCTGTTTGACTAGCGAACTCATTCCAGCCACCTCTTTGAAGAAAGGCAATGATACCATCTCATCTTTTACTACTGCTAGGTCTGCTCTGCTTTTCATTATTTTCTCCGATACCAATCTCTCGCCCTTATACTTGAATTTGCCACAGCATTAAGGAGGGACCGCCTGAGGTCTTGTGCTAGCCTTAAACATGTCAGACACTGCACACTCAAATTTCTGGTCTTCTCCCCCATCTTTACTTTGAACTTTCCGTCACTGCATCACTGTATAAGGGCCAGGTCAGTGATCTGCAGATATTCTGGATCAAGCAGCCCAGTGAATGTTGCACAAGCAGCTTAACTAGACTTTATCAAACTTTCAGACTTTAATTTTCAGAATTTATTTTAACCTTTAGAATTATATTATCCAATCTCTGGAATTTCCTGGATGAGTAAAAGATTTCATATTCAAAAGATGCTGTCACGCTACTTCTTTCTGCTGTTTTACACCCACATACAGCCCACCCTCATTCCCAGGGTTTTGCAAGGAGCAGGAAAGGTGGGGAGACATGATATTGCACAACTCTGATTTATCTTCATGATTAAGTAGCAGCCTTGACAGCCTGGAAGGGAACACATTCCAGATCTTTGGCTGGATGGATGAAAGCTGTGAGATGGTGCCTGAAAAAAAAATTTTTTCAAAAAACACACAAGAAAAATTTTCAGGGCTCCTTGGGTAGTACTATAAGGACCATCTCCCAGAATTCACACTGCCACTGTGGCAAGGTTTGCTGGAATTAAAGTGGCTGTTCTAAAGGCTATGAGGATTTGCTGGCTCAAGTTTAACGTCAGTTAACAGAGGGGGAGTGCAGCAAGCAGATGCTGATGATTTATATAGTTCGATGAACTCACTCTTTACATAGTCATGGTGGCATTTGCTAACACTCTGGCAGCATAGCCCCGAACAACACACCAGCACAATTAAGTCATTAGATAAAGATGCCTTGTGGACCTTGGAAATTAGTTTCCAACCCTGGCCTAGGCAGCATCCCATTTTCAAACAATATCATACTGTTTCTCTATCAGCAAAGACTTATAATCCGCTTCATCTATGTAGTGAACGAAGATGACCGGGACTGTTAGAAGCAGCACAGAAAAGTCAAAACCTCAGAGGATGAGCCATCAAAACCCTGGCAGAGTTGATTTTGGCATGTGCCAGCAACCTGATTCGCATGGGCAATGAAACACGAGGTAGCTCTAATCTAATGGACAAAACTAGTAGCACAGGACAATGGCTTTTTCTCCTAACTACCAGAGAGTTAGACCCAACGTTACATGTTGAGCTCATGAACAGAAACAGGCAGGAGAAAGGTGGGAAACAGTAGCGCTGAATTGTGGGAGAACAGACCTTATGCAAAGTTTATTTTTTGTAGTAAAGTCTTTAACAACCAAAATATAACACATCACACGAGATGCATATTTGGAGAGACAGCAATGAGGAGATAGGCAACTCTTTCCTCTGTAATTTGGCTGACACTTTCTTTTTCCTCACTCATTGCAAATGTCTCCAAACTGTGGAGAAACCAGTACATTCACCATCAGGCTGTCAACAGCTGCTTTGGCTTCAGTCTGCACTGCCCAATGCTACACTCTGTCCCCAACCCACTGCACTGCTGACCCCACCCAAACCTTTCCTAAATATCAAGTATTTTCCAGATATACTACGCAGATACTTGTGTAGTGACTGCAACTCCTCTTTTTTTCCCTCACTGATTGAGAAATGTGGCATTAAGAACCAGAGAAGATACCTAGAGTCCAGAGGGCAAAATAATTTTCAAGCAGGTAAAATTCTGACATCTAATTAGATCAGTATATCCATTTGTACCTCACATTTACAAATACATACTCCAGAAAATAAAACATATTGATTTTGCAAAGAACAGAAAGGGAGTCATCAGCCTGGAACAAGAGAGCATGTTTGTACATGCATTATAAAAATTCAGGTTTTTTGGGGAAAAAAACTCCCTAAGTTTAAATTTAGAGTGTCTACATTTTTCTTATTTTATTGAAGAAGTAAAAATGTAGCTGCTGGAGCCTAACAATTAGACAATGACCAAATTCTTCATTTCCACTTCAGTGCTCCCAAGGTACCCTGCTCCTTCCATGAAACCACCAGTCTAATGACTGCCTCATTGTCAGAGCAAAAAACCCACCTCCGGTGCTTCATTTCCTAGTCACGCACTGGAAATCTTGCACTTTTAATCAAAGCCTGTCATTGGAAGGGTATTATACTTTTCTCCTTCCCCCACAAAAAAAAACCCCACCAACCCAACAAAAAAACCCAAACTCAATTGCCCCAATGGCAGCAGATGACACAAAGAACCTTTTCTTCCTGGCAGTGATAATTAAATTCTATAGCTCATTGTTTCAGATAAGCACTTGTAGTTGTATGGGAGAGATAAAAGAATAAATTCTTTTAAGAGACTCTAATGAAAGTGGCAATAGGTTAAGAAAGGGTAGTTCACAGCCTTCCCCCAGCCACTCAGCAAGAAATAAAGAGGTTAAAGTTGGCACAAATTCACATGTAGTTTATTAATAAATTGGATGCTTCTGGTTTCCAAGTCATTATACAATACATGAGTGATACAGGAAGCAAATAAGGTTTTAGCTGCATTTTTATGATTTAATCTTAAAGGTTGGAATTTAAAGCAGGTCTGTACTGCTGAGAGAAAAAAATCTCTGAGCCAGCCGGGCTCTAGCTTCCCAGCAACACAGTATGAGTATGGGAATGACCAAAATTATTCTAACAGTCTTGTGCCAAGAATATTGCTCAGTCTGAGCTCCAGGAGGGGTACCTGGGAGGCAAGAAAGATAAAGAAGGTGGTTCCTGTTACTTTCTTCTCTGAGTAGCCCTAGTCATAGAGCACAGAGCAGCCCAAGTGCAGCATGCCCACCAGGAAGAGAGCTTTTTAAGCATGCTTCCATGCAGATAGGTGCAGGCAGCCCTAAGTTTTTCTCCCCCCACCACCAAGCAATTTCATAAAGACACTGTATAACCACAGTGCATGGTGCTGTGCTTAAGCCATGCCACAGAGACAAACATATGAGACTCCTTTGCTTATGTGACTTCAGGACTAACCTTAATCCCAGAGTACAGGGAAAACCAGGTTGTTTCTACCTACCACAGGAATAAGGAGGTGCATGGCAAGAAAAGGCTATGGCACATGAGACCAGATGGGAGAAACTATGTTTGGAAACTTGGAAAGGGCGTGCTGTTGACATACACAACACTGTACAAGTCTTAACTCCAGCAGAAGGAAAAATTCAAAACAAAATATTGTCTGTTCTCTTTGCTTACAGAAGCCTTCCTTAATAGGCCCTGCAATTCAGCCCTTGTGAAATGCTAATGCCTTCAGAGAATTCTATCCCTGGCTCAACATTTAGTCATTAACACCCATGAAATGATGTTTCCTCTGCTAGAAAAAGGTGGTCTGTGAAACTAACTGGGTCTTCTGAAGTAACACTGATGCAGTTAACTATGTTTCCCTATTTGTGCAATGCCTCTCTCAATAATCAGCAAAGAGGCAAAACCTAGTTACTAAAAACATATTTTATATATATATATTTTTTTTAAACTGGTTATGTCAACTTTTAACAGAAAAAGCAAAATGAGGACTGGATACCACAAGGTTTCCAAACTTCTGGAAGAGGTGCTTACTTAGAAAAATAAGCAGCGACCTATCAGACTATAAATCAACATTCAGGGTGACAAAACAGACTTAGAGCAAAAAGATCATATTTGTCCAGACTTCTGGACATGAACTCTGCCCCAATGGCTGGGTTGAGTCCCTCCTAACAGAAGCATGCTGATGCAAGCTGAAACTACAAAATAGGGTTTGTTTCTTTAATTAGCTAAAATGACTTGAAATTTGAGATTTCTTGCTACTATTACATGACAGGCATAAAGCCAGCACCTCATCTCCCAAATGAAATTTGCTATTACAGTTATTATAGCCAAACAAGTTTAAGAAATTTTGACTGCTTTAAATGTTTGGGGAATTACCTGCATCCAAAATGCCTTGTGCCAGGATTGCTCCAAACTTTGCCATAACATCATCATGCTTATCGTTGATCACTTTGGAATAGAGCTGTCTGAACTGGCTGACCTGGAAAAAAAAAAAAAAAAAAGAGAGAGAGAGAGATTATAAAACTGACTGCACAAGTCAAATAGCCTGTCTTTAATGGAAGCAATCCTGAATTTCTGCATCCTAGGACGACATTTGTCTTTTCAACAGCTTTAGTCACTGGTGTTAAAAGTCATCCCACTAACAATTAATCACAGATGTTTTCCCCACTTGAAGATACCCATATAACAATTTTAGAATAGTCAGGATGGACATGCATTTCCAAGCCACATTTTGCAGGCCTTATAGGAATAGCCTGAGAATCTCTGGAGTGTCACTGGAATAAAAGGCCAACTGATGAGTTTGTAGCAAGAAGTACTATACGTTCCTAGGTGTGTGACACTGCACTTTATTATAAATTTCCTCCAATTCCTACTGCTGAAAACATCAAACCTATTCTGTTTTTCCTGTACAAAGTTTTTGCCGTATTGATAATCCCCCCTGTGGTGCATCATCAGCAAATTTTGCTACTGTACTCCTACCTTTTAAGTGAAAATCATTAATGAAAATACATAGTAAAGAACAGTTTATGCCATGGTATGTTCACCACAGTATCTTAAGCGCACATTAGTAAGGGGAATTGCTAAACCTTTGCTGATATTATCATCATTGGTTCGAACAGCCTCATCTTTCATTGGTTCACGAAGTGTTGAAGAGACAGAACAGTATCACATCTAGCAATATCTAAGGCTTTATCACAGATTAGTAACTTATGTCTTTAATATATACAGTGGAGCAACAATACAGCTAAAGTAATTTTTATAGCTGAAAAAGCAGACCAGGAAACCCAAATCTGCAACCCAGTCAAAACCTGGGAAGCTGCCTCCCATCCACAGCATGTCTGGAAGAATCTTTTATACCTCTTCCCTAAATTAATTTTAATCCAGATATCTACGTGACATTTTGTTTTCATTTTTTCTGTTTTCGTACTAAGCCTTCACTTGACATGCTCAAAACCAAAGGAGGTCTTTTCAAAAAGGCTCCTTCCAAGATGTCTTGAACAAGCTTCTCCCCACTACTGGTCCACTTTGTTGCTGGTATTCCAAGCCCTCTGCCTACATCTGCAGACACGGATGAGAGGACAAACTTCTAGCCCAAGGCAGTAGGGTCAGACACAGCCACCAGAGACACAGAGCAGTTCCTAGTACTGCAAACGCAGTTAAAGTTTCCAAGTATAAAACCCTAATACCAGCCAACCCCCTAGCCACTTTCCACATCCAAAGAGCATGTGCCTCTCCAGGGACACCACTGATACTTGCTCAGTGACAAGCACCTGAAGAAAGGTCCTACCTTTCAGGTGTGAAACACACTTAGTGTCTGCTGCAGGCAAAGAGGCCAAGCTTCAACACCACCACTAGGAACGTACTCTTGCACAGCCTCTGGTGCTCCCAGTACCTAATTGTACCAGTGAAGGAGGCTTGAACACTGACTGCGACACTCAGGAGGTTCTTCTGGCTGATAACAGCACCCAGCGACCAGCCGGTACCCTGTCCATGCAGGACACCACAAGCTCCAGAGCTGTGCTAAGGGTGGGCAGCGCCGAGCACCAGGAGCAGCCTTCAGGCATCACTCCTCGCACATGTGGCCTGTCTTGGGGTGCAGTGGGGAATCTCAAGGAGCTTACAGAAAGAGTTTCACGCTCATGAAAAAACAACTATTCATACAACTGAGTTAGTGACATGAGAACTCTGCTGGGAATAACGTTTTGTTGAACTGGGATTCATCAAGGTTAAAAAAAAAAAAAAAGATCAAAGCAGAATGAAAAGCTGACTGAGGGGATAAATCAAACTGCAGGGGTTTCTCAGCAAAGCACGAGATCAGATTCCCCAGTAAAAGCGCATCAGAGCCATGAGGTAATCCTGCAGCCAAGGTAATGCTAGCAATAAATTTCACCACATTTCACGTGTGAATTTTTGACCAGAGGCAGTAAGAAGTTGAGACTCTACCTTTGAGAGATTATGTCCAGTGTCTGGGATGGAAAGAAGACAGAGGCTGCCTCTCCAACCCACGAGGCATTACACCTAAGAACCGCAACACTGCTTGGCAGCCCTACGCACTTAGTGAACACTTCAGATTAAGACCGCGTGTTTTCTGCAAAATAGTTCTCAATGCATGTTAACTCGTCACACCGCTTAAAACACAGGGGCCCTAAAGGAACAGACGCTCTCTGGCCGACACCTTTCCTGACTTCGCTCTTTCAGCCACTAACCCAGCTGTACTACTTGTCACCTCAACTCCTTCAGCACTGATGGCATATAACCTGATGAGCTTTAAACCAGTCTGTGACAGCAAAAGACACTAACATCCATACAAATAAATCATGACCTGCTAAACACGACTGTATTAAAATTACTTTGTTTCACACAAATGGACATTCTCACAACCGTGAAGCACCAGAGCAGCCAGCCACTTTTAAAAAGGAGCAGTGAAGCTGAACAAAGCAACACTTCCCTGGTACAGCAGGAGGCATTTATTAAAACTGACAGGGGAGAAAGAGAAGCTTTCTATTTTTCAGTGTAAGTCAGTCCAACAATTTGTGTGCTAATATTAGTTCTCTATTCACCAATTCCCCTTTGCATTAAAAACTTTTTAGTCCCTGTCTCCAAAAGGAGATGACTTAAATTTCCTTGCATTTATTAAAGCTAAGAAAAAGAAGCAATGTACATTTTCAGGGCAGCCACACAGACAGATGTGTGGCAGGGAGATAATGCACATGCAATATAGGGTTTATTCTGGATATACTGACCAAACTCTGCTCTTGCTTCATTCCATTTATGCTTTTTCATGCTCTCCCAATTTTTATTTATAAAACTTACACATTTACATGTTTAATATAAATAGTTTGTTTCTTATGCCTGACCTCTTGTACATTGGAAAAATACCTTAGTTTGCATTTGCAACCTGGAACAGGGCCTCATGCAGTACCAAGGGCAACCACACGCAGACCAGGTGAACCAAAGCCTTCAGATATTATTTGGGACAGACATACAGAAGCAACACGTAAAACTATTCCTCTGGTTGAGCTGAGCAGTAGGATTCCAGTGCCTCTGTTTAGAGCACATCATTCCCGTGACTCTGGGTTCAGCTTCTGGGTTTGGAATATTTATAAAAACAGACAGATGTTACAAAGCTCATTCAGTGGACTGTTACCTGGAATTTACACTGTAATCAAATCTTCAGAGAACAAAACCCTGGGTGAAGCGAGAAGACATTCAGCAGAACTGCTAATGTTCACGCTGGCATCCGAAGTCTGATGGAGCAGCACCTCGAACAGAGGGCAGAAACGCCTCACAGAGAAAGGCGAGGCAGGGCTAGCAGGGGAAGCCATCCACCTCCCCTGCTCGTGGCGTGCTACGTGTGAGCACCCTTTCCCTAATACGCCTTCCACAGCTCCTACTCACATGGACCTTAGTCCAGAGCAGATGAGCAGAACACCCAGGCAAAAGCCCACTAGGAACCCACCAGCTGTGGCACCAGGACACTGTGCAGGGCAGTGAGCTAACCGGGACACAACTGCAAGGGACAGAAACCTGGCTGCTAAACCTGAGTGGATCAATTGCCACCTCTCCAGGTGACACAGACAGGTTACAGCAGGGAATCATCCGAGAGCAGGCATTCAATGAACAAGCACTGAATAGCTACAATAAGAAATAGTCTTTATACCCTTTACTTATAAAAATGCAAAATTTGTAGTGCCTTATCAGAAGCGTTCTGCTTTCAGATAAATTCTGTATACCTGCGCATCGTGAGCCATGGACCACTGCCAACCCTGTAAAATTTATTGAGCAAGCGTGCCCTTTCCAAAGTTTTACTTTAACATCAGTGGAAGCAAAATTGTTCTATGAAATGGTGGGAGACTACTCCTCCTGGCCTCAGGGATCAGGCAAACCCAGACTGAAGGACTGCCTCAACACCTGAATGCATGGTAGGCCTGCATGCTTATTCAGGCTATTCCTATAAAGCAAATGCTTTAGAGGAATGGGGTTTTTGACTGGATCAGGTCCCAGATGAAAACATTCTTTGCTGCTGGGGAAAGACTCCTTTGGCAGCTCTAGCTGTCGCAGTTTGGGAAGGTATCATCCTCACATGGAGCTATTGCTCCATCTCTTTGGAGAAAGCAAGAGCGGTACAGACAAAAGCTCTGTTCTGCCTTTGCTGTTGAGGCACTCATACCCTACAGAATGGAGCAAGATGTCAACAGACAGTAATTTCTTAAGCTGTTGAAGCAAAATCCACCAGAGTTTGTCTAGTAGAGCCCTTTAATCTGCTACTATTTTTCTTTCAAACCACAGCAACAAGCACGTCCCAAACTACTGAATAGGTTTATTTAATATGCTATGAAACCCACAAGATCTGTTCCTCCCTTGAAATCTTCAAGCACTTCAAAAATTTTACAGCATTTGGAAATGCTATCAAGAAATTTATCTGGGCGACTTCCAGAAGGAACACTAAAATGTAGGCAGTGACTCATTTCATCTTTACGAACAATACATACACACCCCATTCTGATAATTAGTGCTGGCCAAAATGACATGCCACTGATTTCAAATGAAGCCAAACGTACAACCTTGGAAACACTGAGGAAACAACACAGGCTTTAAGACATGAGAATGATACAGCACCATTTCCTACCACAAACCCGAGCGGCTGTCATTTATCAGGTTGTTTACCACTTCTCCCTCCACCAGTCAACATTCATGCACATTAAGCCCATGACAGTGTTAAGAATAAGACTTAATAAACAGTTAACTAAGGCAAACAGTGGCAGGTGATGTGCATGATACTTTTTGCAAATGCAAGTTCTTAAGAAAAAGAGTATTTAGGAATCTGTTTTTAATAAAACAGGTTTTAAACTGTTTGCATGTTCTATCCATCTTCTTCAGCAGAAGTTAAAGTTATTCTGCATACAGTTGCTCTTTTGAAAGAGAGATGAAGGAATGTGAAGGTGCTACCAGAATATAAAAAATGTCATTCTTGCATCC